TGCCAAGGGCCCTGCAGATGCTTAGAGTGTGTACTACCACCTGTGACCAAGTTGGTGTCCAAGAGATATGTCCCCAAATAGGCCATGCTGATCTAAGAGGCCTGCACTTCCATCAGAGACTATGGGGTCTTTCCTATCTTGGTCCAGACTGCTACTGGGGACCCTGTCTGGGTCCATGGCTCTTCTGAATTGTCTGAATTATCATCTGTTGCTTCTGTTGCTACTGAGGGCCACACAGAGGTCTGAAGTCTGTGATGACACATGAGACCATGCTGGTCTTTGAGGCTCAACCTGCTGCTGGGGCCATATAGACGTTGGTGATCTGTGCTGTCACACAGGACCATGGTGTCATCTAGACCCAAATTGCCACCGAAGGCCATGTCTGGGTCCATGGCCCTATAGCATCTGGGGTCAGTGTTGATGTCTGTTGCTCCTGTTACCTTCAAAAGCAAAGCAGATGCCCAGGGTCTAGGTAGTCACCTAGAGACAGTTTGATGATCTGGGTCCATACGAGTCTTAGTAACCTATGTTGCCAACTTGGGCCAAAGTTAAATTTTGGCCTGGGCTGATGCCAAGGCCCATGTCTGGGTCCATGGTTCAACTGCAACTGGACTCTCTTTGGACATCCATGGCCTGTATTGCCACCAAGGGCACAAGGATACCAGGTGTCTAGGGTGCCATCAAGAGCCATGTCAGTGCTCAAGACTGAGTCCCTGCTGGGCTACATAGATCTGAGTGATCTGTACGGCCTCCCAGGGCCATGGTGTCATCTAGTTCTGGGCTGCCACCAGCGACCATGTCTCGGTCGGTGGTCCTGCTGCAGCTATGATCTGTGCAGAATTTCATGGTTCCTGTTACCACGAAAAGCAATAAGGATAAGGCTCTACAGAGTTGATCCTGCCCTTCACTGCCTGCAGCACTACAGAGAACTAGTCCTGTCCTTCACTAGTAACAGCAGCAGGAGTGTTGGAGAGCTCACCTAGTTAGTGATGATGAGGGAAAACTGGTGGGCTGAACAACCCAGCTACCACCCAGACCCAAAACCAGGGGTATGAGTTAGCCCACCCCAATAACCTCATCTATAAATTGTTGGAGCATGTGAATGGGGCAAACCTACAGATCTAAAGCCACAGGATCTTCACAACATTGGAAAATAACAGGATATCCAAGAGGAGTCCCAGTGAGAGCCCGTTATTTATAAAGTAGCAGACTTCAGAGACCTCCAACCAGACTAATGACTCCTTACAATGAACACATACTAGTAAAAATTTATGGACTAAATGGGATAGTGCATAAATCACTGGGCCATAATACAACTTCCATATCAAAATATAGTTTCTTATGTGCCTCCTTAGTAGGCACTGTGTCAGTCTCATAATCTGAAGGTCCAAGATGTGGTTTGTTTGTTTTGTTTTTTGTTTTACTTTTAAATTTTGTTTTGTTTTGGGGGGGGATTGCAAGGGTGTAATGAGGGGATGGGGAGATGAGTGGAAACAGGATATATTGTGAAATGTGAATCCACAAATGATGGGGGAAGTCCTGTGTATATGTTAATAAAGCACTGTTGGCCAATAGGGAAGCAAGATAGGTGGGACTAGGAGTCGAGAAGGACTTTGGGTAGGAGAAACACAGGGAGTCACGATGTAGCCTGCCAGAGAAAGAGGATGTCTGGAACTTTGCTCCAGTAAGAGAAATACTTAGATTAACAATTATGAGATAAATACTTAAGTCAGAGCTAGCCAGTAAGAAACAAGCAAGGCCAACAGCTTCATAATTAACATAGCCTCCTGTGTGTTTATTTGGGACTGATGCGGCTCTGGAACCAGGCTGGTGGGAAGGCTTCTCTTTACACACAATGAACCAGTAAAATGTAAAAAAAAATGAGATAAAATATTTCTACTTTGAAAGGAAAACTTGTCATGCATTAATTATGAAAGCAATGTATCTTTGGTGTATAGTCTTAAATCAGAACAAAACTCAAGAATGATTTTATGCTAATTTTAAAATGTTTTACTAAAACAGTAAAAATGGCAAATGCAATCACAAGGAAAAGTAGAGTACATATGTGGTGCTCAAAAAATATTAGCTTTAAATAAATCTCAACTGCCTAAGGTAGCCTTGAAAATTGTTCACAGGATAGGTGTTGGGAGGATGGGAAGGATATTAATAAAGTATTGGTGTTTATAATGCCAAGAATCAACTAGTTGTTTTTATTCATATCTCCAAATGAAAACACTGTGTGGTTGTGGATGATCATTACAGTATCTTTCCAGAATGTTTTATGACACTTCCTATTTTAAATATTAGATCAATTAAAATATATTTAAAATTTTATTTTATTGAAAAAATTGATACTCGATAGCGTGTTTCTCTCTTGTTTCATTTCTTGAATTCACGGAGTAAATTATTTGTTCCTATGGTGATACCAAGAAATGGGTGACCCACTGTCCTTCTTTGACAAAAGGTCATAAGACCACCATACCTCAAACATTGTATTTACCTTCTATAGCTTCAAAATCAGAGGCACCAACAAACTATCAATGACATAACATGATGATTTATTAATTTCTAAATTATATAAATTTCTATTAAGAAATTTTTATCAACAACACTTCTGGGATGATATTTATTATTTATTAAAGCTTGCCTGGGGATTCAGAAAGCAAAGTAAGCTACAAGCTGTAGAAGCCAGGCACACACCTTTAATCCCAATACCCAGAAGCTAGGAGGTGATGGTACATACTTTTAATCTTAGGATTCAGGATGAAGAGGTAGAGGGATCTCTGTGAGTCCAAGGCCACCCAGATCTGCACAAGATTGAATCAGTCCAATAGAGAATTATAGCTAATACCTTTAATCCCAGGACTCATGAGAGGTATATAAGACAGGAGCAAGGAATCAGTATCAAACATTCATTCTCCAGCCACACTGAGGAAAGGCAGCAGGATCAGCCCACTCAGCCTGGGGTAGTGGTAAGAGCTGGTGGCCCACTACTTTTCTGACTTCCATCTTGAAGTTTGAACCCCAACATCAGGCTCTGGATCTTTTATTTTTCATGTTACGTACTTCTCAAAAACACACTATGAAAATCATTTCTTTCTAGTTACCAGGTGTAAATGGAGTTCTTAATTGGTCTAGATAATAAAAACCCAGAGTTAGATATAGAGGAAAATGCTAAGAGATAAGAGAGAAGGAGCAAGCCACTGCCATACCTTACTTCCTTAGCATCTTTGCAGACAAGAGAGCAAGTTCCTTGTTTGTCCCTGCTTATCTCCTCTGTCTTCCCAGCTAACTCACTTCCTGTCTATCTGTACAGACCTCTAGACCTCTAGACCTCTAGTCGAATGGCAAGCTCCATTCTCTGACATTCAGACAAACTTTATTTGTACAAGAAAGATATCACAACAAGGCTCATTAGAAATCAATGTGCTATTGATAATAGTGCTATGCAGCTATTAAATTATAAGTTAAGTGATGGGAATTGCTTCTATTACTTGACCCTTGTATTTATGATGTAGTTGTTTAATAATTAACTCATTTACAGTAAAAAATTCCAACAAGTGTGGGAATATATTTTTTATGAGCTAATAAAACTGCTGGAGATCAAAATGCCAAACCAGCCACAGCACAGAGCCAGACAGTGGTGATACACGCCTTTAATCTCAGCAGCCATGCTAGGTAACCATAGAAACTAGGTGATGGTAGTACACAGCTTTAATCCCAAGATTTAGGAAACAGAGGCAGATGGATCTCTATTAGTTCAAGGGCACTCTGAGCTACACAAAATTGACTCAGTCCTAAATAAAACAGCTCACACAAAGGTGATCTCAGCACTTGGGATACTACACCTTTAGTCTCAGGATTTGAGCAGTATAAAAGGAAGAAGCAAAGACTAGCAAGTGAGAGTCTTCAGCCACGTTGAGGAGAGCAGAGCAGTTGGGATTGCAGTCAGTGACTTGGTGGAGAGCAGTGCAGTCAACATTGTACTCTCAGTATGCTTGGAGACAGGGTCATCCATTTTTGTCTGAGGTATGTTTAAGAGACAGTGGCCAACTGCTTTACTTTTCTGATCTTCAGCTTGGAGCTTGAACCCAATATCTGTCTTTGGGTCTAACTTATCTTTTCTTGTATCTTTATGTTTATATCATTTTGAACCTTCATGTTCTGCACAAATGATCCTCATACAAGATTCTTTGAACTGGTTGTGGTGTCCTTGATGCAGAACTGCTGTCATTGCTTCAGAGATTGAAGAAGCCCTTCTTACAACAGTGACACAAGTGTACACCAAGGTAAAGCTTTTCTGTAAAGGGCCGATATGACTAATTGTATCATTTAAATGACAATGTCATGAGAATGTTTTTAAAAATAAATTTGGAGGAATTACTTGGTGTATATTAGTTTCAGTGTAGTTGTTATTCATGCTGAGAATTAGCGCAGATATCTTTGGTTACTAGATCTACTGTACAAAAGATTCCTCTTATCTGTACATCATAAAGATGAGCTGAGAGCCTATCTTATGTCTGAAAGATATGAAGTGATTTATAAAATTGTAATTGCTTGTTGAAGACCCATTTCTCATATTGATCATGGGGTGATATATACATATATATATACTATATACTTATTTATTATATAATTATTTGAAAATCTAAACTATCAGTACTAGAAATTGTTCAGTTATTCATAGTATTTGAGTAGGAAAAAAAGTAGAATAAAAAACAAAGTTTAAAGTACTTACTTTAGAGGGTTTGGGAAGTAATTGTGCCTGAGTGAAATCAGTAAAATCAGAAACCATCAATCAGCTTTCCAAGGCTATTTGTATAGAAACCAAACCTTCTTAGCCTTCACTGTGATCTGAACATAATATTCTTTATCCAGATAGAAAGTCCAAATCCAAAAGAAGAAAAAGAATCTCTCAGTCTTACTTTTGTGTTTATTGTTATTAAGAGAAAAACAGCAACAATAAACACAAAAGTAAGACTGAGAGATTCTTTTTCTTCTTTGGGATTTTGAGCCTCAGCAACAGGTCAGTGGATAGTACTGAGGGTATTTTAGAAGAGGGAAGTCCCATGCTGAATGCAGGTGACATCATCCCATGGGCCAGGATCCTGAAATAAAGAAAAAAAAAGAGAAAAAGCAAGGTGAACACCACTATTCATCTCTTTCTGCTTCCTCACTGGGTGTAAAGCAACCAGTTATCTTTTGTTTCTACTACTATGACTTCTCTATCATGATGTACTGAATCCTAGAACTTTAGGCCAATGTAAACTCTGCTTTGTCATAACCATGAGAAAAATAACTAACAAAGTGTCAGAAAGCAGACTATATAAGTGATTGCCAGGCATTCTAAGAGTAGACTCACTGCATTTGGATTTGAAGATACCATGAAAAACTTGAAATCCAATCCCTCCTCTTTATAAGGATGATTTGGTCTGAATTGCTAAGAAAGTAAAGCTAGTTTGGGATTTCTTTTGTATACAGTAGGGATAATCTATGAGTTTTTCAAGTTTTCTATGACTTCAATGTTGCCCACATGGCTGACATCCTTTTTTTTTTTTTTTTTTTTTGGTTTTACGAGACAGGGTTTCTCTGTATTGTTTTGGAGGCTGTCGGTCCAGCCCAGCCTCAAACTCACAGAGATCCACCTGCCTCTGCCTCCCGAGTGCTGGGATTAAAGGCGTGTGCCACCAACACCCGGCCGTGACTGCCATTCTTATTATGCCCCCTCAAAGTTAGTAGATAATTAGTTTGTGATCTATAACCTCAATATCTCCTTGACATTTGATTAAGCATATAGGTACTAGATCAAAACCTCCATGGAGTGATGACGAGGTCCTGAGTCAGGAATGTAAATATTATCTTGATAGTATGGATTTCCTATGCTCAAATACGAGTTTATTTTTGTCTATTAAACATAATTAGGTGAAATAATTATGTTAACTAAATATAAGTTTTTATACTTTTAAGATTAGAATAGTTCTAACAAAATGTATTCATGACTAAAATAAAATGACTAGAATAAAGTGCTTACTTACCACAAAGTAAGGCATACAATAAATGCTCAGTGAATTCTGTTAAATTTTTTCCTGGAATATACAATGCCTTACAGAGCTATTAAAAGGTATGGTATTTTAAACCTACATGTGCATTCTTCTTTAGCATCACTGAGGACCAGATGTGTCCTTTTGCTTGTGCCACTGCAGATTTGGTCCTGTAAACAGCATCCTCTCAAGGCCATTGAAAATAAACACCTACTCATAGGTTGTTCTTATGTGTCACTTGTATTAGTGTGTTATGTTTTTTGGAGCTTACTGTAACTTATGCATGCATTCTCAAGAAAAAGATCATGATTTGAAGCTCTGAAATCGCATGCCTGAGGTAAAACAAACATATAACAAAAGTGAAATCATTCTAAAACTCACTTTCCTCACACAAAAACTATTTAAAGTAATTAGTTTACTAGGAGTTAGTCTTATAGTACAGAAGTTAATAACATGTCAAAAATTTAGTGATAATTAAGTAATCATCATGTATTGCATATCATACACATTCACGCAATGTTAAAATTAATTCGAGCATTTGTGCACCTTTAATTCATTTATCTTATACCGACACCTTGAGATAAATATTAATGCTTCCTCTTGTACACCAAGGGAAGAAAAGCAGAATGATGAGACTCTTTAATATGTATATATGATATATACCATATAAATTCCAGATGCAGTATATATATGTAATTTATATGAACTCATATAGCTTGTCAGTGTTATCTGTGGCAGAAGACTCAAGACATCTATTTAAAATTGCTTGTTATTATCCATTTGCAAATTAGCTAAACAAAGGTCTGTTCGTAAGAGGTTATGAGGCATGAACACAAAGCCATGGAGGTGCTATTTTGAATTAATAGGAGTTTTTAAATTTTGATTTTAAAGATTTATTTTTTTAATGTGTGTGTATGGGATAGGGTAAGGGTATATGCAAGTGTTGGGACCATAAAGGTTCTTGAACCCACAGATCACAGTGGAAATGGGTTATGTTAAGCACACAGGACTGTCTTGTCAATAGAAAATATGTAAAACCTCTTTTTCCACCCAGAGAGCTTGGAATTTGGGAGTGACTTATAGCCAGGTGACCTGTGATATCAAGCTCGTATAGCTACAACTGGATACATACCTAATAGTCTAAATGACCCTTACATTATCTAGATAGCCAGGGGCTCCCCCTACCTCCCACAACTAGGACCAAGAGGTGTCTAAAAGCCCAACTGACTTCTAACCTATCTTTATGACCAAGACCAGGTCAGATACTTCTTTATGTCCTTATACAGTTTGCCTACATCCAGAACCCATCTTCGTGTATGAAATGATATATACCCTGAGTTGAATTTAAATGTAATTATGATATCTTGTTCACCCCAGATTGTATTGCCACGGGAAATTTTTCCCAAATTACATACTGTGTTCAAAATTGCTCATAATAATCTATCTGGCATAAGATTACCTTAAGCTTGATCCAGGGTCACAAAATCAATCTTAATCAAGTTGTAATTCTGAGCACTTTGTGGTTCACTGCCTTCCTGGACACCTGCATAGACCCCCTTATTTACAGAAGTGCAGATGTTTGTGGATGCCAGAAGATGGAGGAGGGGCATCTATGGAGCTGGAGTCATTGGCATGGGGATCAGAATCAAACTCAGTTCTCTACAATAGAAAAATAAATGAATGAACTCCTAATTGCTGAACCCTCTCAATCCTCGGACTTTACCTTTATTTACAAGATTTTATTTTAAAGAATTTTGAACAAGTACATTACAAAATTATGTTTTGGGTTATATTCAGTATTTTGCGTTATATTCAGTCAAGAGAAACATCAATCTTGTGTTGGCTTGGGAGAGGAAAAAGAAGGACAAAGAGAGAGGGCTGTGTTATTGGGGTAGGAAAGAGAGACAGCAGAAAGAAAAAGAAGGGCAGTAGCTTTTAAAAAATTATCACTAACACTAACCTAGTTAATTTCCAATTATTGGGTCTCAGGTATAATTAAAACTGTCACTAAGTTTAGGGAAACACGAACTATATAGGTTGTAAGACATATCAGATTTGTAACCACAATCCTTCATCAACATATATTTGATGTGTGCACATGCATGCATAGGTTCCTTTCCACATATATGTTCAGTGTGTTTAGAGACTGTATTTAATTTTTAAGCTTTTAATGCTTTCTTATTATTTGACAGATCTAGGTACCTAACTTAGTGTGTTTTCTCTAAATTAATAAATGCTACAATTCTCCCTACTTGATGATAATCTTGATGGCTAACAGCTCAGTATGAAGGAAGGAATTTAACCCCCTTTAAAATATGACCTATGTGGGTGACTCACAGTAGCACAAAATCTTTTCTGTTCTACGATACTGTGATTATTCAAAATGGTTAAGTAATCTTGGAAATTGCGGAACCTGATGATAACTTTAATTTCAAGGCTTTGAAGTACTCTCCTTGACACCTCACTACTTTTATGGTTGCCTTCAAAGTTCACACTGTCTCATTTACAAAAATCTCTATGTAGATCTATTGCAAATTGTATGTCATGTCTGCTGCGCTCATCATAGCCTCATCAACATATTTTGAGGTTATTAATAACATGATAATTTTGAAGTGTTATGTAAAAAAGGAGCCTTTTATGTAAAGGAGATCATGTTAATCCAAACTGAAGTTTGTGCGGTATAGGCTTAAGGGAAAAGAAATTTGAATGCAAATCGAATTGAAAGCATTCTTTTTTTTTTTTTGCTTTCTTTTTTTTTTTTTCTTCTGGAAACACTCTGTTTAAGTCTAGGAGGAAATGACTGTAGCTCTAACTAAAACTTGGCCTCTTATTCTCTTATATTTGATTAAAAGGAAAAAAAAAGTTCCTCTCCTTTAGGGAAAGTGTTTGTTAAAAGGAATTTTATTACATTTCAGTCCTTATTGTGTAGACAATGACAATGTGCCTCGTAGTAGTGTGGTAGTGGTGTGAGCAGACTTGGAAGCACAGAGAGACATAAAATAATTAGTGGATTGAATGAAAGGGAGACCTTAGAATAGAGAAGGATTTTCTTTCTAGAAGATTTATAGTGAGGTATGATAGGAGAGTGGAACATATATCCTAAGGGAGTATTCCTTCCTGGTCCCGTAATCATGTCAGTCTCTATACGTAGAGGCAAACAGTGTAGCATCTCCCCACTTTGGCAAAACAACAAGAACATTTATAGGTGTAAGAATATTAGTGTTTTATTCTTCTCTGTAAAGAGAAGCCCTTTCCTTGAGAGAAGCCTTCCTGCCAGCCTGGTTCCAGAGCCACATCAGTCCCAAATAAACACACAGGAGGCTATATTAATTATGAAGCGGTTGGCCATGCTTGTTTCTTACTGGCTAGCTCTGACTTAAGTAATTACCCCATAATTGTTAATCTAAGTATTTCTCTTACCAGAGAATAGTTCCGGGCTTCCTACCCCATGGCGTTACATCTTGACTCTCTGTGTTTCTCCTTCCCAGAGTTCTCCTGGACTCCTAGTCCCACTTATCTTGGTTCCCTATTGGCCCAACAGTGCTTTATTGACATAAGCACAGGACTTCCTACATCATCTCCTCTTTTCTGTCTAAACAAAAAGAAAGGTCATAATTTTTAAATAGTCAAATTATATATAAAAGAACAGTTATCAAGTAAGAACATAGTTACAATATTTTGTCTATCAACATTTAGCATGATTTAAAGAAAATATCATCCATCCCATTCTTGTGAGTCCAAAGTCCTATATGTAGCTTATCTTTTATCATAACTAAGGAAACTATAATTATAACTATCTATCTTCAACTCCATCAAAGACCACAGAAGGATACTATATAAACACTAGAAATGACAGAGACATCTTGCCACCTGGACAGTCACCCAAAATTCCTCTGTAACGTTGGGGCATCCATCTTCAGCCCATAGGCCACAGTGTGTCTGGAACACGTCTCAGCAAAGCAGGAAATTTCAAACTGTCCATCTGCATCAGCAGTCTGTCAGTCATTTTTCTGTGTCCTGCAGAAAGTCTCGTAGACTTCCATGAAGCACAACCCTGTAAGACTGAGTTCAGCAGTCACTTTCCTGTGAGTCCTGCATGTCCAGATTTTACAACAACAGTCAAGCAGTACAGGCAAGAGTAGTTTCTTGCACAAATGGCTAATCTTGCCATGTTGAAAGCAAACTCCATAACAGGTTTCTTCGATACCCATCTTTCTCTCAGATGAAATTGGTGCTGCCAGGAGCAGACCTTTCTCATTGTCAAGAAAAACCCTAAACCATTTTAAATGATTTTCTGTAGGTCTTTGAAAGGTTTGAAGACTATCTATCTGTCTCAAATACATCTCTATCAATCTAGAAAACCTAACTTACCTAACTATAAGTTCTGACTATTATAAGTAACTATCTATAATCTGTATTTAATTACACATTACATTTTAAAAGATCAGTATAAGCACAATACTTAATCAAGAGGAGAAATATACACATCACAAAATTGACCTTGAATTTGTATCAATAAATGAAAAACCATACCCATACCATAATTCCCCTTTTGACCATTAAAAAGAGATTGGCTGTGATCACTAGCCAATTATAAACAACCCCATTTAAATGAAAACAAAGATTTATAAACAAGATGGGAATTAGGACGTTGCTCATTCCAAACTGCTTCGTGCTGAAAGGGGGCGCTGTTCATACCATAGGGATCATGACAAAACTCAGAAACCTGTACAAGTCCTTATTTTCGTGGTCTGTAAAGCTCCATCATCTTAGCTGTTTCAGTTGTTGGAACACCTGGTCCACTACTTCCGGGGGTCTTGGTTCATCAAACCACAGAAGCCTGGAAGGAATTCTCAGCTTTTCATTTTCTGTAGAAACATAACAAAATCTCCTTTCCCAAGTAACATATCCTTATACTTAAATTTTGAAGTCAAGGCATTTTCAAAAGATAGAAGTTGGATTAATTTAGCAGCATTTGTAATCAAGTGTACTTTAGCAGTTGTTCCTTCCTGAGCAATCAAAAAACTGAAAAACACAATAGCGTACAGTATCCAGACTTTCTGTGTATTTTTCATCTTTGTGTGGCTTATTTATTTATCTATTATTACTTTATTATTTTTTTTTTTACTTTTATTTCCTTTTCGCTGAGACAGGGTTTCTCTTTGGAAATCTGCCTGCCTCTACCTCTGCAGCAATTCCTACTGGTGTGCGCCACCACAGCCGGCTTCTGTATTTATTTACCACTTATCTGTTAAAACCGTGGCAGTTTAAACTGCAGTTTTTCCAAGATGGCGGGTGTAAGCGTGATTCCAGCTTAGCCTCAGTCTGACATCCAGCAAAAGCTGCCAGCTCAGAGATGTGGTCACTGCCACTTCCAGCTGTACGTATAACTTTTCAATTGTTAGCAGAGTCTCTTAAAAGAACCTTGCTGGTTTTTTTTTTTCTTTTTATGCCGAGTCAGAAAGACTCCGGTAAGTGAGCCATGTGAATCTCGGCTTGTAGCTAGCAAACCAGAGCCCACCTGAGAAAAATGCTGCTACTATAAATCTGTGCTTCTCTCTGTTCTTTTGTTTCTAAAATTCCTTTAAAGCTTTTGTCATTCTACGTGGAAATTTAATCCCGCTCCTGATCACCATTTGTCAAGGGTGGCTTTTCCTTGAGAGAAGCCTTCCTGTCAGCCTGGTTCCAGAGCCGTATAAGTCCCAAATAAACACACAGGAGGCTATATTAATTATGAAGCGGTTGGCCTTGCTTGTTTCTTACTGGTTAGCTCTGACTTAAGTAATTACCCCATAATTGTTAATCTAAGTATTTCTCTTACTGGAGAATAATTCCGGGCTTCCTACCCCATGATGTTACATCTTGACTCTCTGTGTTTCTCCTTCCCAAAATTCTCCTGGACTCCTAGTCCCACTTATCTTGGTTCCCTATTGACACAACAGTGCTTTATTGACATAATCACAGGACTTCCCACATCACTTCTCAGAATCTCTTCCTTTTTCTTTAATTTTTTAATTGGTTATACTTTTTTTTAAAGGGCAGAGAATGCAATGCTGGAGAAATGACTCTGGTTATGAGCACTGATTGCTCTTCCAAAGGACCTGGCTTCTATCCCAGCACCCATACAGCTCATAATTGTCTGTAATTCCATTCCAGAGGTGTTCATGCCTACTGTGGCCTCTGTGGCCACAAAGCACACTAACAGTAAACAGACAAATGTGCAGGCAAAACATTCTTATGCATAAAATGAATACAAAATTTTAAATTAAAAAGTCGGGCACAATATGGAATGTTGTCAAAGAGTAGAGGGGAATGCTGTTTTACACAGGGGCAAGGGAAGAAGGCTTGTGTGAAAGGCTATATGTCAATAGCAACTGTTATTCATTTTTATTATATTTATTTACTTACTTATCTCTGTGATCAAATACCCAAGAAAATCAACTTCAAGTAAGAATGATGTGTTTTTGGCTCCCATACTCAGAAGCTTCAACCCATGATCACATGGTATCTTAGGTCACAGCAAGAAGAAGTGAAGCTGTTCACCCTATGCTGGCTTGAAAGAGAGAGAGTGGGTTCAAGCAAGAAAGAGAGAGGAAGATACAGAGAGGGATAGAGAAGTATAGCTATAGAGAGATGGGGCAGGGGATTATCACAATGTCTCAATATTCCTTTTAAGGGCTTGGCCATAAGCCTAGATTCTACATCCTAGAATTTCAAGCCAGAGTTATCAAGCACCACAGGGTGGTGATTAATCCTGTATTTTATGAGCCTTTGAAAGACATTTCAGTTTTAAACCAATATGGCAACCACTGCATATACAGGACACATGACACTTAGCCTTCTTGTCAACAGAGCTCCAAGTCAAGAGAACAGCAGTAGTGTGATGTGGGTAGCGGTTCCAGGGCAGTTTACAGGGCTCTAAAGTCTTTACAATGCATGGCATTAAGTGAAGAAGTGAGTGGTGAGTTCATGCTGTGGTAACCGTGATGAAGAAGGTGACATGACAATTTGAGATCACTCTGTTGTATTTTATAATGGAGTGAAGCCATCAGAATGCTTTGGCAAGTGATTTGTCAAGACAAGAAACACATCTTAAAATAATCCTACCATCTGGGTAGTGAGACAAGTTTTAGTATGTATCCTATTAATTAGGGCCTTAGAGACCAGAGGTAGGTGTTTAAAATTAAATTCAGTGGTGGTTCAAGCCCTTAACCCAGGATTTGGGAGGCAGAGGCAAGCGGATCTCTGTGAGTTCGACACCAGTCTGGTCTACAAGAGCTAGTTCCAGGACGGCCTCCAAAGCCACAGAGAAACCCTGCCTCGAAAAACCAAAACAAAACAAGATAATTAAATACAAATGTGTTTGAATGTCACTGAAGTTGTGTAATCAGGCTATAAAATGTTTTATAATGTTCTAAAATAATAATTTCAGATGTTATTTCGATAACAATTTTATGAAATATAAAGAGACCAATGAGGAAATTATTTTGATAGTTTAAGGAAGAAATGTAATGGTTAGGAGTAAGAAATTGATAGATCATGTGTTTGGATATTGTAAATGAATGATACAAACTGGCTTGATGGAATTACAAATGTATCAATTATGAGAGAAGGGAGTGTAAAACACTACTTGGTGTTTAGTGTGTAAACAGTTATGTGCTGATTAATTGTCAGAGATAGGAAAGCCTGGAGGAAGAAATTTTGAAGATATAGGGAGTCAATTATTTCCATTTGTTTTGGTTTTTTGACATGCTGAATTTGAGATGTCCATCAAATTTCATATTGGAGCATGGAATTATACATATGGATGCCTAACTATATGTAGCTCATTAGAATATATTAATGAAATATTGGGGAGAAGTAAGTTATGCAATAACTGATAACTTCATTTCTTTGCTTTACAGTTGTATTTGGGCCAATAAAGATGGTTCCACTCCATCTTGACTAAAGGTCAGAGAGTTCAAAACTGTCTTTATGCCTATAAGACTAAGTTTGGCTGCTACAGAATGTTTCAACCTTGGTAGTGGATGTCTTTTTATGAATAACAACAGACTTAGGCTCAGATGTGTTTATTCTTGACTTTGGAGGTCAGATGGCAGGTGTGACTATCAAATTTCTGGAGGATTAAGGGAAGTCAGTCTCTTTCTTTGCCCTTTATACATGATAATAGAAGTCTTCTGCCCACTTTTGGTTGCATACTTAAGTATGTTGAAGAATAAACTTGGGGCGTTCAGCATTCAGATGGACTGAATACTCTCCTAACAATATTCCTGTGTCTCAGTTTTGTATCTTAACTCCCTTAGCTAGCCCTCGTGGTCTACACTCCTCCTCTCAGGTACGAACTGTGGGCTCCCGGGCTGGCTCATACTGCAAACCGGAAAAGACAGCTTCCCACGCTGATATATTGCAGAATTTAAAATCTAGCTTTATGACATTAAATAGAGACATGGGAAGAGGTACGAAAAGAAACGTTC